ATAAAAAAAAAACCTCTATATAAGCACAATACTGTATAAGCACATTTTTTAAAAAAAGTTACTATGATCCCGACAGTATGATTATAGAGAGATAAGACTTTATATCGAATAATCTATGCATCACCGATTTACTTTTTTATCTAATAATACCAATTTTTGGCTTCTACCTTTACTCGCACGTTCTCTGTACCAGTAATTATAAGCTTACAATATGTGTGGCCATTTGAGCACTGCAATACAATTTTTTGGATTACCAAACCACGAGCTACTAAGTCAGTAAGTGCCAGTGTGGCTAAATCGCTATTTTTAAGTATTTTTGGTTTGCTTGATTTTATAGGATCTGTGTAAAATAGAAGTTCATTAAACCCTTCCTTTCAGACACTTGCATTTTGATTACGACAAAATATATCTACTACATCAGCTGGTCGTATTTTTTTTGTAAAGTTTGCACATAACATTTCTACAATATCTAATATCTCCTTAATTTCATTAAAGGCATTTTGCAGTTCTGGCTTATCTTGAGAATGTCTTAAACAATTATCACACCTTTTACATACTACTGGTGTTGGTTTACCCGGCCATGCATATGCTTGAGCAACTATTTGTAAATGACATTGGTATGTATTTATACAAAACAACATCATTTTAAAAATTTTTTTTTGTCCTAACATCAAATATTGATCAATTTGTTGTATATTTATAGCAGAATCGCTATTGTTATAAGTTTGTTATTAGCATTATAAATAATAGAATTGTAACTAATTATTTACATACTTACATTTCTTTATTTCCTGAAAGTATTAAGTAAAGGGTTCATATATCATTCTCAGAATATAATATTATAACTTTTGAAACTTCACCATCTCTGCCAGCATATCCAGATTGCTGAATAAAGCTAGCTTTATAAGTACAAGTAGAAAATTAATAAAAATTCTATGTAACAACTGAATTCAATTTTTGCTTAACACTAACACATATTCATTGGCATAGTATAGTGTACTACTAGTCGAACATCATTGATATCTATTCCCATTCCGAATGCAGAAGTTGCAACTATTATTTTTGTTTCACCAGAAAGCCACTTTTTCATTGCCTTACTTTTTTCTATTTCTATCATTTTTCCATAAAAAATATCTATAATTTTATCATTTAAAGATCCTACTAGCATTTCCATTACTTGATTACATTGTCATTTACTTGCACAATATATAATTATTCTTCCTTCAGTTATTTGGTTTATAAGAGCAATAAGATCATTCTTAACACTATTACCATGCTCTTTTTTTTTTATTACTTCATATAATAGTTCATTTCTTATAAGAGTTTCACCTGAATAGTAGCCATATTATTAGAATTAAATTACAGTTAATCATATAGTAAGATAATATCTTCGTATGCAAGGGTAGCTGTCATTGCAAGTATAGGTATAGTTGGATATCTTTCTTTTAAAAGATATAACTTACTCCAAGCATCTCTATAAATATAAAGTTCTATAATATTTATTGAATTTAACTATTAAATAATAGAATCTAATATTATTATTATCTAAAATATTCGTAGTCAAATATGCAATATACTTCATCTATAACAATACGCAACTTATTTTCTTGATTTAACCAATTCAAGAATATTTGAAAATATTAGTTCATTAGGAATTTTTCAGGAGTAATAAAAAGTAATTGGGTCCAACCCATTGCAATTTCTGTAAATATTTTTTCTTCAAGATTAATTGTAGACTCAGTAGATGTATATAATCTGGCACAAGGTATCTCAGCTGCTAAGAATTTTGTCTTAATTATAGAAATAGTTAGATTTGTATTAATTACATTTTTATATATATTATTATTTCTTACTACATGATTTCATATTAAAGCAGTAAGTGGACATATTACAACTGTCAATTCTTCAAAAAGAATTGCTGATATTCCGAAACATAAAGATTTTCTGTCTCCTGTTTTTAAAAGCACCAAAGTACCTTTTTGATTTTTACAAAATTCAGTTATAACTTGATATTGTCCTTCTCATAACTAATTGAAACCAAATACTGTTTTTGCACAATAAATAATCTCATCTGTTATTAAAGAAGTTTAGGTATATTTTTAATAGCCATAGGATTTAATAAATGTTCATTTTTGTTTATATTCCAGTAAAAATTATACAGTTCGCATAAGCTATAAGAAGTTTTTTTTGGAAAAGTATAGCATCTTAAACACATATTTATAGTGTTAAAATTCTTTATTTGAAGGGCAAATGATGCATAAAAACTATTTGTTCATATTCGTTCTTCTCTTTTATATTTATATGGAATTAACTCCTAAATTTAATTATATAATTTGTATATTAATTTAAAATATTTATTATATACAGAATTATTATTTACCTTACTAAAGTCAAATTCAAGTAATTCAACATGGTCATTAGCATATTTCTGAGTACAAGCATTATTTCTTTCACGTATTTTGTTTTTATTAAATTCTCTTTGGTTATTATATCCTAATTCAAAATTCGCAATATTAAAAAAATCTTGTTCTGTAAATTCTTTATTACAGGCTATTTGTCGAAGTTCTGCAATTATACTAAGATAGCCTTCATTGTAATTTAATATTGCAAGTGAGTAACGCACTTTATAAGATGCCCAGTAATCAATTTTTTTATCAAGAAAGATTAATTTACATCTATTAAATCTCTTATTCAAAGAGGTACGTGCAATAGTAATTAAACTTTGTTTTTTAGGAAGATGAAAAATAGAATTCAACATATTTTTAAAATTTTGAATACGGTATCCTGATACATTAATTAAGATCAGTTCCTTTAAAGAAATACTTGGATTATCTTTACACCAGCACAATTCAGACCAACACTGATTATGTTGATTTTTTAGATGTTGAATTAAACCTTCTACTTGTTGTTCTCGTAATTCTTTATCACTAGAAGCATTAGTTTCATCTAATTCTTTGCGTAAACTAGTGGTATAAACACAACTATTAAACCAACACATAATATGTTGTTCATATTCATGGAAGTTTGTATTGGTTTTATTTACTATATGTGATTTAAATTAATTAAATTTTATTATTTAATTTTTACATAATATTTATTTTACTTACATAAATTTTTACGTATATTTTTACTTGCATACTTTAGATCTGCATATATTTGACTTACAATAGGTATATGACTAAGAGTTTTATCAGAATTTAGATCACCATCCAAACAAACTCCTAAAAGAAAATTATGTTCTTCTAATATAGGAGTTATTTGGTCCAATAAATTAAGTAGTATTGCATGTTTCATTTGTTGAGAACTAGCATTAAAATTTCTTTCAAATAAGGTTTTTATACTTTCATTTTTTTGATTAGTTATATTTCGTGATTTTTGTACGATATGATACGCTACAATCGGATAATGATTATAACCTTTTTATTATAAAAATTAAAATTATTATTATTATATTATTTATTATTTAAATAAATATTAATTTAAAATTATACCAGGAATTTGCATTTGCAAAATAAATTCCCCACTAGCCTGACTAGCATTACGATAGTGTGTCCAAGATACATCAAATAAAACAATAAATTTAATAGAAGTTTGTGATAATGGCATTGAATTAAGTAAGTAATTAATGCTTTAAGTTAATGCTTTTAAAGTTGAGGTTTTAGCAGCTTTGATAATTTGAGAAAATAGTTGTTTTTGATATGTATGGTAAGTTTTTTTGCAAAACTGCATAGTAATTCCTATTGATACTAAAGCACTTTGTAAAGCTTGATGTATAATTCCAACAGCTAAACTAGCAGCAGCCACAGTACTTGAAAAGTTAGTATTTGAACTTTCATTTAAATAATTATTTTTATATTGGTATTTAATACATTTCATTATGCTTTTAATTATGAATCCGGCTGATTGAAATTTAAATTTTTTATTTTCTAAAATATTTTCACCACATTCAGAGCAAGGTTGTGAAAATACAAACTGCAAATACTCCCATGTATCAACTAATATTGTTGAACCAAGTTGTAAGTTTAAAACTTCATTTTTTATCATTTCATTGATTTCTAAGCTTTGATTAATATAGCTTATTTTTAACTTCTCGTATAATTCATTTGCAGATTTTTGTAAATGTGAATAAGCTCAATTTTTATTATATAATTTAGCAAGAGCTTCATTATGTTTTATCCAAAGTGCTTGGGTTATTTTAGGTGAAAGTATTTTCTCTTGAAGATTAGGAATAATACCGTTATGTGGTTGGTTTGGTTTATGTTTTAAATCATACTCGATTTCTCTACTTTTTCTTTCTAATGCTCTTATCATAGTATTTTCTTTTTTGAAAGTATGTATAATTTTATTAAAATCAGAAAATAAATTGGGATATTTTTTATGAACTATTGTCTGTAAATATTTAATATTTTTGCAAGAAAATCCCAATAACCAAGGAAGAGTTAGATGACCTTTTTCTTTATATTTGCAAATAAACATTTTAAAAAAAGAATAATCGGTTCCTTGATCAATCCACTTCTGAAATAATTCATTTTCATATACTATCCAATGAAAGTATAGTGTATTAAAACTATCTAATTGGATAGATAATTTCATCTATATTCCATTGACTTTTGTATATATTGTATAGCCAGGCAATAAAGGAACCCAATTATCAATAATATTAGTATCACCATTTACATAGTATCTAGCTACTAAATTTGATGTAGTAACTTGTTTAGAAGAAAAAGATACTAATTCTTTATGTCTTTCTAAAACTACTAACTGGTATATTTTTCTTACAAGCTATGAATTGTTTTTTCGTTTAATTGCTAATCGGATTTGTGGTTCTTGCTGAACCAAAATTTTATACCATTTGCTTATTATTAATCACATTATTAAAAAATAGTTTCGATAAAAGATTTATTCAGTATAATAATAAATTGGATCCTTAATCACATAAAAGTAATATAAAGGCAAAATCATGTTGTAAAAGTAATATAAAGACAAAATCGCGTTGAAAAAGTAATAAAAAGACAAAATTGTATTGTAAAAATAATATAAAAGCAAAATCGCATTGTAAAATTAAAATATAAAGGCAAAATCGTGTTATAAAAAGTAATATAACTGTAATAATCAATATAGTAGTCTAAGAATTTTCTAGAATATTGATTATTTATGTAGATCTCCTCATAAAAATTAACAACTTCTCACAAATTTTATAGTCGAAAAATGTAAATTATATATTGGAACCTTCTTGTTTTATATTTTACAAAAGATTTAAAATAAATTTTCGTATTATTTTTGGTAATTTAATTAAATTTTTTAAATAATATTATTATAACTTGTTTATAAATTGACCAATTTTTGTACTACAAAATAATTTGCTATTTATATTAATAATGTATTACACTATACCCTTAATATTATTAATAATCATTTTATGAAAATAAATCAAAATTAAATAATATATTTAATAAAAAATAATAATATAATATAAATATACAAAATAAAATTTTAAATA